AAAAAATTAATAATAAAAGATGATTTATTAAAAAGACCTTATTCTATGTTTGATCTCAATCAATTACTTTATTATTCTAAACAACTTAAAATTATCTTTATGTTAAACCATGTTATTATCCCATTCAATTACACTCAATGGTTTGACTATTCCCAAATGACGTTTTTTCTTCAAAACAAATCAACTTTTTCTTTATTAAATTCTTTAAATTTAAAAGTCAAAAACAAACACATCTTTATGCATCATTTAGAAATAAGTAGGTGTAACGAATCAACTATCAATTCTCTTTTAAATTCTATTGAAACTAAAACTATTAAATTTATAGATTGTAATATTTCTTTCAATAAAATCAATTTTTATCCTCTTCAAATGTTAACTTCTCTTTGGATTAAAAGAATGAAATCTTTAGATCTTCTTCTACTCAATGAAATGAAACAACTAAAATCTCTTCGTCTTGAATACATTGAAGAAACAAAAAACGTTAAATCTTTATTACAAACTAATTATCTAAAAGTTCTCATCATCAAAAATTGTCAAGGAATTTATCTAAAAACAATCGTTAAATTAAACCACTTACTCACACTCGACTATGACCAAAGAGAATTACCTCTTAAACGACCTTTCAATAAATTCCTCAACAAATTAAATCTATATCATAATAACGAATTTATTAAATATTATAACTATCTCAGAAAATTACCAAATTGCACATATAATTCTGTTCAAGTCAATTTCATTCATCCATCATTAACTGACAATTTCTATTATTTTAATCATAAACTTTAATCTCTCTTTCTTTAATTGTTTTCTTTATTTCATTCTTTTTTTTTTTGAAACAGAATTTTTCAAAGAAACCAGAAAAGTAAAAGAACTATTTAAAAAGTAAAATCTAAAAAATAAATCTGATATGGTTTCTTTACCCAACCCTCTATATATTTCATTATCTATATCAGTTATTTCAATCATTTTTATTTATGCATCAATTCTATCACCATGGACTGTTAATTCATACCAAATGGATCCATTAACAGTTAAACATCTTGGTGGGTTAACATATTATGCAATAGAAACAGACATGGGTGAATACACTATGTCTACTTTTATTAGATATATCAATTCTGGTATTTATTTTAAAGAAAATGAAACAAAACAATACAACTATCAAGTAGCTAGTTTAAAATGTATTTGTGTATTTGTGTGTTTCCAATTTATGTATATGTTAGCATTTATCTTTTTTACTTTCATGAATATCAAAAAAGATGCTTATGTTCTCAAAAAAGTTGAAAAATTAATGAACCGTTCATTCATCGTTTACATTGTTCTTAGTATAATTGCATTACTTCCTTTCATCACTACTTGCATTGGTATTGCTGCTGCTTGTAAAGTTGGTTTTGAAAATGAAAAACAACAAGAAAAATTCACACGTCACGTAGGACCAGGATTTATTCTTCACCTTCTTGCAACTATTGCTCAAGTTGTTTCATCTGTAATTGCCGTTGTGTTCTGCAAATTGTGCAAGCCAAAAGATGAATCTAATTATGATGCTTTCTAACTTTGTTTAACACAAATTAAAAATTTGTTATTCATTTTGTTATTTTTTATTTTTAAAATTTTTCATCTTTAAATTTATCAATGGGAATTGTCAATTACATAACAAGTATACTTTATATCCCTTATGTATTCACCCCATTGGTATTGTTAATATGCTTGTTGTCATGTATAATTGTCATTAAATACAAGTCGTTAAGAGATGAAGATGTGATGTTTGTTATTTTTGCAGTTATTATCTGTGTATTGATTAAAACATCAACAATATCAATTCTTGGGACGTACATATCACCTATTAATCAACCAGTATTTATTTATGCCTACTTCTCTATCCAACTCCTAAGACATATGATTTGTTTATTCCAACTGAAATTAGAAGAACAATGTTATTATTCACCAGCAGTTTTTGTTGCAAACTTTTCAACAATAGGATTTATAGTGTTTATGCCAATATACATTATTTTGTTCTGCATATTAATATTTAAGTGTATAAGCCTTGCACCATTAATTACACTGCCAATAACAATACCAGAATTTATTATAATTCCAAATGAAGTTATTTATGTAATTTATAATTATGGATTTATATATAAACGATGTTATGATAATCAATGGAGTAAACGATATATTGAACACTTTTTTACAAAAATACATTTTGACTTTATTACAATAGGATGTTTAATTGTTCATTATATTGTTTTACTTATATATACATGGGGACAACGATTAATGGGAATTTGGATTGGTTTTCAAATACTTAGAGTGGGATTTGCAGGTATTTTTAAGATTAGAACAGTTCAGAAATATTTTAACCATCTTGTAATCACTCTCAAAATTTGTGATTTAAATGAAGGAGAGTGTTCTATTTGTTATTCTTGTTTGAAAAGAAAGTGTGTTGCATTTTCTTGTGGTCATAAATTCCATTATTCTTGTGTGATACCATGGTTACAACATAATTCTGTTTGTCCTCTTTGTAAACAACCCATTCTTCCATTAAAAATTAATTATGAGAAATATATCATGAAACTACCTAAATCAAGTCGTTTTGTTGTGCGTCTTTACCAATTTTTATTTAAACAAAATACTGTTCAAGAACAAATTGGAGCTATTAAAGAAGTATTCCCAATGATTCCTGATGGTATTATTCTTCAAGACTTAGAACGATTTTCAACAACTACTGATGTCATTGCACATTATATAGATCATCCAGAGATGGTTGATGAATACACAAATGCTGTGATTAATGAACAAGAAACACAACATGAATTAGCACCAGATTTTGATATAATGAAAAATCTTGAAGGAATAGAAGAAGATTCTACAGAAAGTAGTGATGAAAATATTAATTTAGAAGAGCTTTATCAAATCAAGAATAAGAAAACGTAAGT